CAAATGGGTAAGACAATAAACTACATCCACGTCCTGGGTAAGACAATGAACTGAACCGGCAGCGAGGGCTCTGACCAGGAGGTTTTGAGGAACGTGAATTCCTGGTGTTCCCGGGCCCACCCTGACCCGAGGGGGTGGCGCCTGTTGGGGTCCCGGTTAGGAGCAAATAGTTAACCCTAAACGGGTCAAAACGCTATGAAAGTGTAAAAATAGGTTTTAATACCAGCAATACATTTTTGAAATAAAATATTACTAGCAATATATTTTTGAAGAAAAAAAATATTACGAACAATACATTTTTGGAAAAAAAAATATTAGCAGCAATAAAAATGTTGTCGGCATTAAATAACCCATTGAGGTTGATATGTCGTAAAACAAAATAAACCAAACCAATCTAAACCAAAAAATACATATTCTATTCATAGGAGTCTATTCTAAAAATGTTGTCGGCATTAAATAACCCATTGAGGTTTGTATGTCGTCAAACAAACCAAACTAAACTAAACTGAATCTCTCAATGGTTAACAATGTAATGGTTAACAATCTTGTCACGCTAGAACAATTTTGAAGAGTCTTTCATTCTCTCAATCGTGTCTCTTATATTGTTAGGATTTTTCCTACCAATAATAAATTCTGGTAAGGCATCTCCCCCCCCGTATAGGTTAAATAATCTGGTGAGAGACGCATTTTTGTAAGATGCCTCTATTTATTTCTGTAAGTTTCTCGACTCATAGATGAGTTGTTCCCATTGAATATTCCTGATCGCTATATAATAGCTGCTGCTAATCAAGGTTTCCTAATAGTTATTACAAATCAACCATTCGCCTTTGCATGGAGTATTGCTGCCATATATGGTCTGGTGCCCCATATGTTTGTTCTTGATAAAATCCAGAGACGGATATGCAATATAATTGGCCCTGATCTGGTATCTCGTCTGCAGTCGATCTCTCACAGACGTGCCGTCGCCTCTCTCTGTCTTTTTTACAAATACTTTCACGGTAACTGCCCCGATGAGCTGCTTTCGCTGGTTCCCAGACTTCATGAATTTAAGCGTTCTACTAGGCAGGCATCTCGCTTTCACCCTTTCACTGTCGAAACTGTTAAATGTAGCCGTCTCTTCTACGCCAATAGCTTCATGTCTCGCACTTCTTGCCTGTGGAACACCCTCCCCTTTTCCTGTTTCCCTGATAGCTACAATCTCCAACTAATCAAATGTAATGTCAATCGACGTCTCCAGATGCCCTAATCTATCCCCTATCCTTCTCCTCATCCTTTCCTCTATCACTCCTCTTTGCTCTCGCCCCAACTCTCTGTAACACTTTGTGTGCTAGTGGCTTCCCGCCTTGCTTCAGGTGAAGCGCCCTCCAGTGCTGAAAATGGCCGAGGCAACTTCAGCGAAAAATTACGTTGAATTTTTCTTTAGTAAAGCGATGAGCCGTATCCACATGCGGCCTACTTCTCGGTAAACCTTGTTATAATTCCATCACTTGAAAATTGCTTCAGCATGTTATTAATATAAGATATTATATATATATATATATATATATATATATATATATATATTATATTAATTGAACAACTATATATATATATATATTGCTTCAGCATGAAACTACGAGTTGTGCAATTAATATAAGATATTATATATATATATATATATATATATATATATATATTTAATTAATTCATCGAGTCTGAAAGAAACCTCAACAGAATGCAGAAAGCATTGGACGGCCGTTTCGTCCTATATTTGGGACTCATCAGCAGTGCGCATCCACTACCGAGAATTGAAACCATGACAGTTAGGTTGTCAAGCAAACATCATACCAACTGTTCCTGACGAAGAGATTGAAAATCAGACTCAATATAGCGCCGCTCTCTCACATATTCCGTGGTGGAACTCTTACTGAATTCTCTGTAACCATAGGACTGTGCGCCCTGGAGCCACGACTACTCTCACCAAGCCGCTCACTCTAGAGCATTAGAAGCCGGTTCAAGCAATGATATACATAGATAGAAATTATTAGGAGGATTTGATGATTATATTTAATTAATTCATCGAGTCTGAAAGAAACCTCAAATGAGTCCCAAATTCATTCTGCATTCTGTTGAGGTTTCTGTCAGACTCGATGAATTAATTAAATATAATTATCAAATCCTCTAATAATATATATATATATATATATATATATATATATATATATATATATATATATATATATATGTGTGTGTGTGTGTGTGTATGTGTGTGTGTGTGTATCAGCAGTCAATATACCACATAACACCCTTGAGCGTTTAGCCTTGGAGCGGGTAGAATGGAGATCAAAGTGTTTTAGTGGACTCAGCAATTTTCAATCTGCTTATCTGAATCATCTTCAAGAAGCGAGAGCAAGATCTAAAAGGTTACCCAATCTAACAGTTGCACATGGGTTTAATTTGTAGAAAGAGACACCTGCCTGTTGTAAAGACTAATAGGACAACCATTTATACGTAAATTTACTGTTTATTCGACTCTGTCTTCGTAAAGTTAAGCAACGTCGAACCTGTTCAGTATCGAGATGGGTGACCGCCTGCGAACGCCATGTGCTGTAAGCTTGGATGTGCAGATGGTGGAATGGAAAATGAATTAGAATTGTTAATCTAAGAGCCAAGTTCTAATTCCCGTTGAGTTCTTTATATTTGCAAATACTATTGGGAAAGGTATGAATTCACCTGTTCTGCCCCCAACTACAGGTTAATTAGTAAGACGTGTATCACTAAACCATTATTATCTCGGAAACAAATTTTAATCTAAAAATAATTTCTGGCTTTAAATAACCTACAAAGGGTCGATAAACCGTGGAAAACGACTCAATCAATGAAATCTTGATTAGCAGCACAGGCATGTCTTTTAAATTTATTTACATTCTCTGTAATATAAATGTAAAGAAACTACAGTGGCCACAAAGTGAGGCATAATTTTATATATTGTTGTAATGTAGAATTGATCCCCCAACTTTATATCCACTTATAATTTCTTTGTTTTTGATAAGCTGCAGAAAACGAATTTAATCAATCAATGAAATACTGATTAGCTACACACGCATCTTTTAGATTTATTTACATTCTCTGGAATATCAATGTATAGGACCTACGATGGCCACAAAGTGAGGGATCACTCTATACATTGGTTGTAATGTAGAATTAATCCCCCACTTTATATCCACATAATTTCTTGGTTGTTGTTAAGCTGTAGTAAATGAATCAATGAATTAATGAAATACTGATTAGCTACACAGGCATGTCTTTTAGATTTATTTACATTCTCTGGACTATAAATACATAGAAACGACAGTGGTCACAAAGTGAGGGATCAGTTTATATATTGATTGTAATGTAGAATTGATCCCCCAACTTTATATCCACTTATAATTTCTTTGTTTTTGATAAGCTGCAGAAAACGAATTTAATCAATCAATGAAATACTGATTAGCTACACACGCATCTTTTAGATTTATTTACATTCTCTGGAATATCAATGTATAGGACCTACGATGGCCACAAAGTGAGGGATCAGTCTATACATTGATTGTAATGTAGAATTAATCCCCCACTTTATATCCACATAATTTCTTGGTTGTTGTTAAGCCGTAGAAAACGAATCAATCAATTAATGAAATACTGATTCGTTACACAGGCATGTCTTTTAGATTTATTTACATTCTCTGGAATATAAATATATAGAAACTATAGTGGCCACAAAGTGAGGGATCATTTCATATATTGGTTGTAATATAGAATTGATCCCCCACTTTATATCCACTTATAATTTCTTGGTTCTTGATAAGCCGTAAAAAACAACATTCAATGAAATTGATTGAAATAGAAACTATAGTGGCCACAAAGTGAGGGATCAGTTCATATATTGATTGTAATATGGAATTGGTCCCCCTCTTTGTATTCACTTATAATTTGTTGGTTGTTGATAAGCCGAAGAAAATATTCAATCAATGAAATGCTGATCAGCTACACACACGTCTTTTAGATTTATTTAGTCTCTGGAATATAAATATATAGACTAGATTGGTCACAAAGTGAGGGATCAGTTTATGTATTGATTGTAATGTAGAATTGATCCCTCAATTTTATATCAACCTATAATTTCTTGGTTGTTGATAAGCTGTAGAAAAACGAATCAATCAATCAATGAAATACTCATTAGCTACACAGGCATGTCTTTTAGATTGATTTGCATTCTCTACAAAATAAATGTATAAAACTATCGTGGATGCCATGAATTCCACACACCGTCGAAGACGTTCATGAAAGTTGTCCATAACTCTACAGGTCATTTCATGTGGAATGGCAGCTGTTTCTTCATGCATGGCATCTTTTAATTTGTTCAATAGATCGGGGTGATATGTGTATAGCTTTGATTTCAGCTCTCCCCATAGAAAAAAAAATCGCATGGTTTCAAATCACTTGATCGGATGGATCAACGTTCTTTGTGTTGCAGTTACCGATTCCTTGGTCTTGATAAACGTTTCCACAATGAATTCGCGATTCTCGTCCATCCAATTCTTGTTGGCAGCTGAAAATGAAATTAAAAAAAAATCGCATTAAACGTAGATTTCGAAAATAAAAACACATTTTTCATTCTTTACTCTATTTCGCTTTTTATTAAACCTACAAATGTGTCAGATCATTTTGCCACGTCCAGTATTTAGCAAATAAATCGTTAGTCAAGTGAATTCACACTTTTTGGGTGCTCCGTTACTGTTACCTTGTGTCAGACTAGTCTAATCCTTTGAACTAGAAAACAGATTTGAACTCAAAAGCAGACACGTCATAGATTTGCCCACAGACATAGAACATAGTTGAGAATACTTTCGGATAGCCCAAGAAACCGGAAAAGTTTTTAACTTGATCGTTAAATGAAAGAGAGACATATAGAACATAGCAGTTGGTTCAGTGAGGACGCTCCCTATGTAAACGGACCTTAATTGCAGGTCAACGCGCGAATGGAAGCCAACAATCGAGGTTTGGTTACTGATCTTTGCACAAAAGCGGGTTTCTTTGATGCAAAACAAAGAGATTCTTTCCATAGAAGAATGATTCCGAAGAATACCCAAGACGGCTCGCCATTAACAAGAGAACGGATGAAGACGGATCAGGTTAAAGACGCTGAAGGCCTGAAGAATGATACACTTGTATTCAAAAGTACCAGTGATACTTTGACTTGAACTTTCTCTTTACTAAGACTTACGTCCATTTTTTTTTCTTTTTAGACGAGATTTTTTCATTCTTAGTTGTTGTTCAGTCTTTTGTTTTATTTTTCATTCGTTCTTTCTTTCTTTTTCTTGTTCGTTTTCCTTTTTTTTATTTCATTAGTATTTCTTTCTCGCATCTTTTTCGTCGTTTTTGTGTTTCTTTTATCTTGCTTGTTTTTTTTCTTTATTTGTGCCCCTTTGATTTATATAGCATTCGTTTTTCTTTCTTTCTTTCTTTCTGTTTTTTTCTTTCGTTCTTTATTTCTCATACGTTTAATTTTTTTCTCATCAATTTATCTGTCATTGTTTTCTTTGTTTCTTTCTCTTCTTTCTTTTTCTTTCTTTCGTTCTCCTTTCTTTCTTTCTTTCTTTCTTTTTCCTTTCGCATTAGTTACCTTTCTTTCTTTCTTTTTCCTTTTTTCTTTCTTTTTCTTTCGTTCTTTCTTTCTTTCGCATTAGTTCTTTCTTTTTCGTTTTTTCTTTCTTTCTTTCTTCTTTCTTTCTTTCTTTCTTTCTTTCTTTCTCATTTGTCACGTTTCTTTCTTTCTTTCTTTCTTTCGCATTTGTTACGTTTCTTTCTTTTTCTGTTTTCTTTGTTCTTTCTTTCTTTTTCCTTTTTTCTTTCTTTTTCTTTCGTTCTTTCTTTTTTTCGCATTAGTACTTTCTTTTTCGTTTTTTCTTTCTTTCTTTCTTTTTTCTTTCTTTCTTTCTTTCTTTCTTTTTTCTTTTTTTCTTTCTTTCTTTCTTTCTGTTTTTTTCTTTCGTTCTTTCTTTCTCATTTGTCACGTTTCTTTCTTTCTTTCTTTCTTTCTTTCTTTCTTTCTTTTTTTCTTTCTTTCTTTCTTTCTTTCTTTCTCATTTGTCACGTTCCAACCCCTCCACATGCTCTCTCTTCCTTCCTTCCTCTTCGCCCTTTCTTTCTTTCTTTCTTTCTTTCTTTCTTTCCAACCCCTTCACATGCTCTCTCTTCCTTCCTTCCTCTTCCTTTCTTTCTTTCTTTCTTTCTTTCTTTCTTTTCTTTCTTTCTTTCTTTCTTTCTTTCCAACCCTCCACGCTCTCTCTTCCTTCCTTCCTCTTCGCCCTTTCTTTCTTTCTTTCTTTTTTTTTCTTTCTTTTTCTTTCTTTCTTTCTTTCTTTCTTTCTTTCTTTTTTTTTCCAACCCCTCCACATGCTCTCTCTTCCTTCCTTCCTCTTCGCCTTTCTTTCTTTCTTTCTTTCTTTTCTTTCTTTCTTTCTTTCTTTCTTTCTTTCTTTCTTTCTTTTCCTTCCCTCTTGCCCTTTCTTTCCTTCCTTCCTCTTCGCCCTTTCTTTCTTTCTTTCTTTCTTTCTTTCTTTCTTTCTTTTTCTTTCTTTCTTTTCCAACCCCTCCCATGCTCTCTCTTCCTTCCTTCCTCTTCGCCCTTTCTTTCTTTCTTTCTTTTCCAACCCCTCCACATGCTCTCTCTTCCTTCCTTCCTCTTCGCCCTTTCTTTCTTTCTTTCTTTCTTTCTTTCTTTCTTTCTTTCTTTCTTTCTTTCTTTCTTTCTTTCCAACCCCTCCACATGCTCTCTCTTCCTTCCTTCCTCTTCGCCCTTTCTTTCTTTCTTTCTTTCTTTCTTTCTTTCTTTCTTTCTTTCTTTCTTTCTTTCTTTTCTTTCCAACCCCTCCACATGCTCTCTCTTCCTTCCTTCCTCTTCTTTCCCTTTCTTTCTTTCTTTCTTTCTTTCTTTCTTTCTTTCTTTTCTTTCTTTCTTTTCCAGCCCCCTCCCATGCACTCTCTTCCTTCCTTCCTCTTCGCCCTTTCTTTTTCTTTCTTTCTTTCTTTCTTTCTTTCTTTCTTTCTTTCTTTCCAACCCCTCCACATGCTCTCATTTCCTTCCTTCCTTCCTACCTTCCTCTTTTTTCTTCCTTCCTTCCTCTTCGCCCTTTCTTTTTTTCTTTCTTTCTTTCTTTCTTTCTTTCTTTCTTTCTTTCTTTCTTTCTTCAATTCCGTCTTTTATTTCCTTTTCGTTTCCGCTCTTTCTTTCTTTCTTTCTTTCTTTCTTTCCAACCCCTCCCATGCTCTCATTTCCTTCCTTCCTTCCTTCCTCTTTTTTTCTTCCTTCCTTCCTCTTCGTTCTTTCTTTTTTCTTTCTTTCTTTCTTTCTTTCTTTCTTTCTTTCTTTCTTCTTTCTTTCTTTTATTTCCTTTTTTCGTTTCCGCTCTTTCTTTCTTTCTTTCTTTCTTTCTTTCTTTCTTTCTTTCTTTCTTTCTTTCTTTTCCAACCCCTCCACATGCTCTCATTTCCTTCCTTCCTTCCTTCCTTCCTTCCTTCCTTCCTTCCTTCCTTCCTTCCTCTTTTTTCTTCCTTCCTTCCTCTTCGCTCTTTCTTTCTTTCTTTCTTTCTTTCTTTCTTTCTTTCTTTCTTTTCAATTTCTTATATTTCCTTTTTGTTTGAGCTTTGTTTGTTTGTTTCTTTCTTTCTTTCCCGCTTATCCCCACTCATCTCTATCGTCTGTTTTCCTTTTTGCATATCCCACTTTTTCTTGAACTATTTCATTTTTGCCTATCGGTAGACTGACTCAATTTCCTGGGTACCAATGGAAATAAATGCAAACGCATTCATACTACGCACTGTCTTTTCCAATAAAACTTCAGATATATTTTCTGCAAAGAATTTTGCTGTTAAACTTAAAGGCACCCTTATAGACTATAAAACCACCCTGGAAGGTAAGGTAGATATGTGTCATTTCTATCAATTTTAATTATCTGGACGTTCAGCACAAAATTAGTACTCTCACATGGCAGGCAATTATATTGTTATGAAGAAACAAATTAATGCGAATATTGCCGAATAAATGGGTACAAATCATCTGACAAAATACGGCGTTGGACGTAATAATTTCCTATAATTTTGTTCGCCATGTCTAATCTGGAATCTGTGCCCAAAAATTGCAATCATTTTTTTATCTCCCAATCTTTTTGGCAGACGATCAATCATCCTTTGAAAATTTTCTTCCGCCATATTGCTTTTTTATCGACATGCGCTACACTTTCCCGCCTATTCCACCGGTATTCACTTGACAGCGCCATCTGTGCCCAATCTCACGAACCAGTCAGACCCAAACTATCAAGTTTCTTTCAATTTCTTTTCTCTTAACTTTTGGTATTAACAGGCAAAACGATGCCGCCATTGTTTGACAACAACAAACAATATATTTCCAATCAACAATAAATATTCTTATTTTTAATTTTGTCGTCATTAAATATCACTAAAGCTATATTTGTATGCGTACTAATATATATATTATGTGTGGTTTATATATATATATATATATATATATATATATATATATATATATATATATATATATATATATATATATATATATATATATATATATATATATATATATATATATATATATATATATATATATATATATGTATATATATATATATATATATATATATATATATATCTTGGCCTGTGAAGTATTGATCCAGTGGCATGGGGAGCTGTTACAATGGGAGACTGCCAGGCTGCAGTGGATGATCAGGACTTCTTTAGGTATCGCATCCATGCTTTAGGGCGATCCACAACACCATTGCTGCCATTGCTTTCACAACCGTTGGATCTACAGGTGATCTCATCCGTTCGTTCCGCCGGCAGTCAGTCTTCGCATACGGTAGGGCTGACGCTGCCCAAGCCTAACTCACCGGGGGTTTCAGACCCGTCGGCTACCCTCACCTGGTTTGGCCAGCCCGCCAAAGCCGTTGCCCGGGGGTGGCCGCTGTTGTATGCAACAGCTTCTAAGAGACATATGTGAGAGCTGGGTGGCAGGTGAGAACCAGTGGCAGACGAACAGCCCTGATAAGTACATGGTAACACCCTGCTAAGGGGTATATATATATATATATATATATATATATATATATATCAGTGCGCAGGTATGCAGAAAATAGAAAAAAAAACACGTTGGGTGCATAATCCGGAGTTCCTTAGTATTTTTGTTTTTATTTTTAAGAAGACAGTGCTCCATACAGAAGTAGAGCTTTATTATAATAATATTTTTTTTGTTTAAAAATATGATTCCTTCGCTACATAAGAGTTCTCATGTTTCAAAAACGAGAGCCGAAACCATCCAAATAATTATTAAAATTAAGTTGAATTGTGGTGTTTAGTCCCGTTTCATCTTCAAGCGAAATTTTAGGAATAAGCTATCTCTCGGTTTACGTGTGTTTTTAGGCATGGTCCATTACAGAATTCGTTACTGTGGGAGTGGCTAGACTATTTTCCTTCGTTAAGTGGTCAGAGAGTTAATTCTTATCAATAGATTCATCCTCTTCTGAGAGGTTTTGCTAAGGTTGGGTAGGGTATCTATTTCAAGGCTAATGTTTGCGGTCACTCTTTAGTTGGTCCCCAGTGAGGCAATTTTTATGGCGTGATTACAAGTCATTATGTATCTGGAGAATTGTTTTTTTATTATTGTCCATCTGATTATCTGTTTATTTATTTGTTTATTCAAGTGGGTGTTTTATATACAGATCGCATTGCACTGAATTTCAATTTGTTTTCTTTTTTGTTTTTTGACGACTACAGAAAGGGTTTTTCCTATTTAATGATTTGGCTAAGCTTTTAAGTCTTTAGCTATGGGATTTTTTTATGCTAGTTATTTAATGCGAAAGTTTGTTGATGTCGGCAAAAAACCGTTAACTCCTGCCTATGGTTTAATAATTTTTCATTATTTAGAAATTTAATGTTGTGTAGTTTTTTGTGTAGGCATAAGGGG